GAGCAGAAGACCAGGAGGGCCGAGAAAGGTCGGCTGGCGCCCTGACTGCCCAGGCTGGCTGTCCCCGCAGAGGCAGGCAGGGTCCCCGCACACAGCTGGGGGAGCCTTCCAGAGTGTCTCAGTTTAACATGGTACCCCAAAACAGCCTGAGCAGAGAAACGACCCACTTGGTTCCCTCCTGTGCTGGTTGTTTTAATTTTCCCAGAGTCCCTCGAGATGAGGACACTGTCAGCCCATGGTGGGAACCTGGGCATGGCAGAGCCATGCTGCACTGCTCCCAGCCTCTTGGCTCCACCAAGGCCACCTGTGAAGGCCAGAGCCCTCAGCACAGCCCCGGTGGCTCAGAGCACAGCTTGGCTGTGATAGTCCCCCATGCTCCTGACCAGCCCTGCCCCGGAGGGCTCTTGGTGTGGCAGGGAGATGGCTGTGTTCGCTGGCAGCCTAGAAAGACGGGCGGGGAATTGGCTGTTACAGCAAGTGCCAAGGCAGTGAGACTGAGGATCGTGGTGCCGCAGAGTGCAAGGGTCGGACCCAGCCGGGCTGGTGTCTGACCTCTCGGCAGTGGTTCCTAACTGTCTGAGGAAGTTGTGTGGAAACATGATGGAGTGAGCCTGAGACCTCCCAGGGGACAGCTGGCCACCTGTGACTCATCCCGGGCCCATGGTCCTGGGAATGGCTTCCACCCAGATCTCCCTCCACCCACCCTGGGTGGGAATGGAGAGTAGGACTCTGGTCCCTGGCCTGGGGTTGGAACGGCTCTGGCTTCGTATTCCCTGCAGAACTCAATGACCAGATCCAGAGAGCCCTCCAGCTGGAGGACGAAAGGAAGCGAGCCCAGGAGGAGGCTGAGCGACTGGAGGCTGACCGCGTGGCTGCGCTCAGGGCCAAGGAGGAGCTGGAGAGACAGGCGGCCGATCAGATAAAGAGCCAGGAGCAGCTGGTAGGGATTGCCTGGGTTTCAAGATGCTGAATTATAGAGGGGCTGCTTCTGGGGATCGAAAAAGCGACACCTGCCTTGTAGTGACTCTTCTCTGGGGCCGTAATCGGATCTATACCAGAGGCGTGTAGCAGCCGCCCGGGAGGGGGCTAGGGACTTGCTGTCATCTGTGCCCAGTCAGGGAAGTGGACATTGGGTGTCTGGAGTCCCACACAGACACAGGTCAGCTCGGATGAGCCCTGCTGACCCCGGGGAGCTGGAGGGATGCAGTGTGTCACCGCAGAGGCCTTTCACCAACACATGTAAATGTCGGCAAGAGGACACTCAGAGGATTTCAGAAGCCGCTTGGCTCCACCTTCCCTTCCAGGCTGCGGAGCTCGCCGAGTACACTGCCAAGATCGCCCTCCTGGAGGAGGCGCGGAGGCGCAAGGAGGACGAGGTTGAGGAGTGGCAGCACCGGGTGAGTCTGTGCCTCGGAATCCTGCCTGTTGTGGCCCGCAGTGGGTTAGGAGAGTCCAGCTTGACCCCTGGGTCGCATTAGAAGCTCCTGGGACATTTTGCATCCTTGGCCAGCACCTGCTGTGCTGCTGAAGCAGAGATCCACAGGAGCGGGCTCGGCCTGTACACCAGTGTGTGCAGCTGCTGGATCAACCCGCTAGTCCTCTCCACCACTGCCCCGCCTCTGAGCTGCTCACCACGATCAGACACCCCTGATCAGGAACTAGTTTTAAATCCAATTATTTGGGCCCCTGTGACAGAAATAAAACCTCCTGGAATATATTGGAGAGTTTGTGAAAAGGACCTCAGAGGTCTCCAAACCAGAGCGGGAGCCCAGGCTCAGCGGCGTGGCCACCTGGCCAGGAAGCGGGGATGGCCTCCCCTCTGAGCCTCACTATGGACCTTGCACAGGTTTGATGAGCTCTAATTGCAATCATGAGACCTTGCAGAGCCTGTCCTCCACCTGTGGTCCTCTGTGCCCTCCAGGACAGCACAGGGTCTAGGTGTGGTTCATGTCATGGACTTACCACCAAGCTTTGGGAGGCCCCTTTCCCTTCATCCTCCCACCTGTTTGTCTCTAGGACCGCCCTCCTGGGTCACTTGTAACTAGTGCCTCCCTGGGTGCCCCGCGTGTTTTCCACCTGCTACACACAGACGACTTGTTAGGTTTTGGGAGAAGGTGGCCATTATAAAGTATTAAGTGAGAGGGCTGGGGATGTGGCTCAAGCGGTAGTGCGCCCACCTGGCATGCGTGCGGCCTGGGTTTGATCCTCAGCACCACATACAAACAAAGATGTTGTGTCTGCTGAAAACTGAAAAATAATATTATTTTWAAAAAATAAATGAATAAAGTATTAAGTGAGAAAAGCTGGTGACAGAACAGGGCAGACTGAGCTCACCCCCAGGAAGCACTTGGAGGCAGGGCTGGGCATATGTCCTGTGAAGATGTTGGGTGGATTCGGGGTAATGGTAGGAAGGTGTCAATACATGTGAGCCCACAAGGAGAGCAGTAATTCACACCAGAGTGTTGTGTGTGGGATGTGGAAGACTTGCTGTTTCCGAATACATATACACAGTAGGTGTATAATAGGGTCATATAGAGAACAAGGAAGGGTTCTTTAAGAAATGTCGGGCTGGGGCTGGGGCTGGGGCTGAGCAGTAGAGCACTTGCCTGGCACATGTGAGGTCCTGGGTTTGATCCTCAGCACCATAAAATAAACAAACAAAATAAAGGTATTGTGTCCAACTACCACTGACAAATATTTTAAAAAAAAGAAAAAGAAACACTCAGCCTCTGGCTCGTGGGTGTCGCCTGTGCCGTGGAAGCGATGACGACAGGGAGAGCAGCCCACTTCTGCGGAGCCGTGCTGGGGCTGTACTGTTTTAGCTCCCAGGAGGGGGGTCGGAATTCTTGTGCTCCCCACGAGGAGACCACTCCTGCTTCTTAAAGTAGTGCCCGCACAGGGACCTGGGGGAGAAGCTCCCACCTATTTATTTGCTTTCCAAAGGCCAAAGAAGCCCAGGACGACCTGGTGAAGACCAAGGAGGAGCTGCACCTGGTGATGACCGCCCCACCACCCCCGCCGCCCCCGGTGTACGAGCCCGTGAGCTACCACGTGCAGGAGAGCCCGCAGGAGGAGGGCGCGGAGCCCATGGGCTACAGCGCCGAGCTCTGCAGCGAGGGCATCCTGGACGACCGCAACGAGGAGAAGCGGATCACGGAGGCGGAGAAGAACGAGCGCGTGCAGCGGCAGCTGCTGGTGAGCAGGGGCGGGGCCTGCTTTGCTTTCACCTGGGCAGGTGGCTTTTAAACCGGGCCACCAAATGGGTCATCACCACCCGGCCACCTCTCCACCTTTCCCAGGGGAGGGAGGGGTCTGCATTCCCAGCCACTGGGTGGTGTCACAGGGAGGGCAGGTGCTGACTGCTGCCGCTTCACGTTGCAGACTCTGAGCAACGAGTTGTCCCAGGCCAGAGATGAGAACAAGAGGACCCACAAYGACATCATCCACAACGAGAACATGCGGCAGGGCCGGGACAAGTACAAGACCCTGCGGCAGATCCGGCAGGGCAACACGAAGCAGCGGATCGACGAGTTTGAGGCCATGTAAAGGCTGGGCCTGAGGGTCCCGGGCAGACATGTCACACTTGGCTCTTTAGTACTCTGAATCTAGAATCCCTCAACATGTTCCAGGTCCCTTATAAAAAGAGCGGTTACCCAGCAAAAGCCCTCGGGGTCAGGAACCAGCAGAAGCCTCTCTGGTTTGTTCTTCCCAATTGTATGCTAGTGCCAAACAGGCCTGATTTTTATGAGAATTATCGAATCACTTCCTGTCTTATGCTTGAAGCAGGACTGATGGAATTAAGGAAAGATTCCTGTAAAGTCTGACAAACTTCATGCTGGCCTGTGTGATCCAAGGTGCAGTATCATTAAAGAAAACCACACCGTGGCTTACATCTGTGCCATACTTTCTCTGTTTTTGAAATGAACTCAAAATTGATTAGTTCTTGATTTCTGTGAAGGGTCCATCTCTGTATATTTGTGTTGAGGGGTAACAATTACTTTGAAAATTGAGTCTAAAGCACTCTCCACACAGTGATTTCCTTTCTCCAGACAGTCAGTTCTGCTGGCAAAAATCTGCAGTGGTCATTCAGAATGAACGGTACAGGAGGACTCTCCGGTAAAGTTTGTTTTGTTTTTTTTTTTTTTTTTTTTTTTTTGCTTAACAGTTAGAATACACTGTTGGACTTATATTCTTAATTAATGATCAGCTATAGAATATAGTATTTATATATGTGATAATATGGGTTTGTAACATTAGTTTTAAAAAGGGAAAGTTTTGTTCTGTATATTTTGTTACCTTTTACAGAATAAAATAATTACATATTAAAAAAAACCATGTAACCACGGCCCTGGAACTGATGTGACGTGAGGGCAGTAATGAAACTGATTACCTGCTGTAATTGCAGTGTAAAAATGTCTTAGAGTTCTTTGTGCCCATAACTGCACACTTCAATTTTCTAAGATGGTTCAGACTCCAGCCATGAAGGGACTCTGTCATCATGAGAACCTCTTTCTGATCAATTTCTATTCTCTGCCATGTCCTCCAAAACCTATCGACACAGTGGCTTTCACGAGCTGTTGGCTGGGCTCACTGGGCCCTTCTGTGCGGGTTGTCCTTTTTGGTTGTCTCATGCCAACAAATTCCACCCTGCAGACACAAAATAAAAGTTGTCCAAGGCGTGTGCACAGAGTGGTCTGCTCATGCGTGGGTGGGAGGAGCTCCAGGGACTCGCCTGGGTCCACACCATCCAGTAGCTGTGCCGTGTGGGAGCCCCAAGCCCTGTGGGCCCCTCAGAAGTTGGACCTGGCAGTCCCTGTGGCCGGCTGACCTGCTCTGCCACAGGAGGGGAGGGAGCGTCGGGTACTCCCCAGGCTCGTTTTTCCTCTGAAATGTGCAGAAAAGCTGTGATTTTTTTCACTATTTGCCAAGCTCTGAGAAGGTAACTGCCAAACATTTATTGAAATATGGCCGTTTTCCACCTCTCAGAGAACAGCTAGGAACCCATCTGAGACTTAGGTAACATGGATAACTGCTCTGTTAAGTACACAAGACAGTGAGGGACATAACAGAACAACCAGGGGAGGCTGCACAGTCCAGAGGGCCCGTCCATCCACGGCCAGCCCGTGGCTTCTGCAGGCTCCAGGCTTCGGCACATCCAGCATAGCCTGGAGCTCCGAGGCCTTCACTTCAGTGCAGGATGAGCGTCATGTCCGTCCATAAGTTGGGGCTGGAGAGAACCTTCTGCCATTGCAGCCTTGATTGTGCACATGAGTCTGCACCAGCTGTATCCTCCTCTGACATGAGACAGACACGTTATTAATGGTTGATGAGCACGCCATTCATCCTCCTCAGCTTTTTAAAAACAAGGCCCATCAAGAAAAGTGGGTTTGGGGCATCAACTGGAGACTATGAAAATGCCAACCACTGCTGGTTTGAGACTCCCCCAATGACATGTGAGTGCAGGATGTGCTGCAGCCTTGGAGCAGAGGCCCTGACCTCCAGTTCCTTTCCAGGGTCTTAGGGGAGAGACGGTTCTGGTTTGGTGGCTGATTCTTCACTGTGAGGAATCAATATCCTGATACGGGGACTGTGTATGGCAGGGGCTGGATCTGTTGACGGAAGGGGTTCCCTAGAGGAGAGCTGTGCTTTGGACAGCGTCCCTTAGAAAACTCATTCTTACTTATCTGTAGTTCTCAGCTGAATGTTGTTAGAGCTGTGTGCAGGCGTTTGGGGTTGGCACTGTGTGGAGGGCGCTGCTGGCAACCTGCAGGTGGGGTGGGGCCCAGAATCCTCCCAGACAAGGGCTGCCCACAAGCACAGTGCCAGCAGCACCCCTGTGAGCAAGACTGAATAGTGTCCCTGTTTGTCTCACTCTCAATGAAGCACTTTCTGAATTGCCATTTGTTTGGGTTAAGATGTTTTCCTTTAAGAAAATAATCCTCTTATGATTGACAATAGAAACAAAAGCAAATACTGTGCCTGGCCTGTTTTGAGGCCCATAACTTAGTTTCTTTAGCAGATCTAAATCTGATTTAAATTGTCAAAATACTTGGCTGTATTATCACTCCGTGGTAGAGTTAGGCCTAGACTTAGGAATTTCTATTTTTGGCAGGTAGGCAGTGCAACCTACAGCCAGTTAAATCGCTGCCATTGTGTAAGTATTTTCTCTCTTCGTGGTACCCACGTAGGACACTCGCTAAGGACATAACAAAGCACTGGGAGACAGTCTGGGCCCATGGGGAATCAGGCAGACTTACTTGAGCCAAGTCTGGCTCCCCCCAGCAAGCGGTCGCTCATTCCAAAGATGGCCTGGTCCCAGACAGTCAGTTCCAGAATCGACTGCCTCAGCTGAGACCTGCTGACGCCATTGAACACGAAGGAGTGTTTCCACTGGGGGTGAGCTTGCTTCTTCAGCACCGGGGACCTCAGTCGCAGCTTTTGTTGGTCTGGCAGAGTGAGACAGCTAAGGAGAGAAACAAGATGCTGCGATCGGGACGCTGGGGCCTCACGGCAGCCTACACCGCACGCGCTGCTTCCAGCCTGAGCACTGACCCAGTGAGCGTGGGAATCACAGGACCTGGCCGCACGACCTCACTAGGATTTTCCAAGTTTCTTTTTCAGCTGGATTCCGTGTCAGGTATTAAGGGTAAATTGGAATTCTGAGGCCACATGGCCCTCACCGTAATCTCCTTACAGCCCTTCGAAGGCAGGGCTTATTAGAAGTGCCGCCCAGGGACCATGTGACTCATTGTATACTGTTGTCAGCAAAACACATTCAGAAAGGCTACCTAACTTGCCCAAGGACATGCACGGAAGTAATAAGATCAGGACCCAGGCTCGGTTCTGTCTGGACAAGGAGGCCTTCATGTTTCCACCCTGTCTGTGACTGGGGATTTAGCATTTCAAACATTCAGTGGTGTTTGCTTTGCTTTTAGAGGCACCAGCGCACCTGCAGTGACTAAGTGAAGTGTGGAAAGTCACCCAAGCGACAGTTAATCCAAGAGGCGGTGTTAAACCAAGGAAGTATCTGCTGAACACACTTCTTTCTTCTCATACTTAAGATTTCAATCGAAACTGATTTTCTGATATAACAAGAACTGACAAGATTTGGTTTTCAGGTCAAAATGTACTATCCCAAATAGGTCTCAGCTTGCCCACATCCCCTGGATTTGTGGAAATCCGGGCCCTTCGTGTTTGCTATAGGAAAGTTAAAGTAAGAAGACTTTAAAATGGCTTACATCTCTGATGTTTCCTCCAGGTTCTAGGAACATACTGTTCATATTCTAGATAACCAGTAAACAGTATTTGGTTGCATCGAATACCTACCCTTTAACAAATGAGTTTAAGGTACCATCCGATCGCACAGGTAAGTTCTTGGCGCCCAGCACTACCAAACAGAGTTGACCATTAAGTGATGGCTGATCTGTCCCTGGAAGAAAGCCAGTTCCCACTGTCAAACCCACTTCTCCAGAGGCATTACAGTCCTACCACCCCCAAACTGAGCTCAGTAAGAGGAGTGTTATAGACTCCAGGCCTGAAAGAGCAGGCAGGAAGAGGCACATTTCCCCCAGAAGGCTCTGCTAGCCCTGGCCACACGCTGAGTGGTCTGCACAGGGACAGGATGCTGAACCCCAGCGAGGCAAAGCTCTGAAAGTACATCTTCTAGGGAGAGATGTGGAAGGTTTTAGTTTGGCTGTTGCCAGTAGGTTTGGGGAAACTGGGAGCCCCAAACCCATTTCAGGGAGTTAGAGGTGACCTTAGGGTGCCTGCCACTGGTCTGCTGGTGGCGTCATGAGCTCAGAGGCTCTTCTTCCCACCAAATAGTCACTACTCAATGGAAATATGCATCATCCCTATCTACTTTGCCCACCCTCAGGGCCTCACAAGTTCAACCTCCTAAAGGCCCTGCAGGACCTGTCCTTGATCCACATCACTCATGGGCAGCAGTTGCCCCTCTGAGACCTGCAGGTACCAGCACCTGACAATTGCTCTTGGCTCCTAAAGTCAAAACTCCTAACTCATGACACATGTTGTCAGGTGTACCCTCTTCTAGAGGGGACATGGTTTCACCAGACCCTGTCCAGTCTACCTGTTGGGAGGGATGCCTTGGGGACAGTGAAAGTGGACACTGAAGGCCTTGCCTGCTTTGGTCACCCATGTCTCCTGTAGGCCACAGGTTYCAGGGAACACCTTCCCAGGGTGCTTCTGCCTCTCAGGCTCTGGGACATGTGGGTGTCACTGTGCAGTGGGTAGGAAATGCTAGAAAGCCTTTTACCCACCTCTCAGCATGACGCCTTCCAGGCTTTGGGGACAGTGACAGAGGAGTGCTCAAGGGGCTGGCCACCTACCTTCTAGAGCTTCCTGGGACTTTCTGGGCCCTACAGGGAGAACCAGTTTGGCCCGAACAGCAAGTTCTCCATTATTCTGAGGAATGCTGTCTTCATATTTCTCGTTCTGGGGGTGCAAAGGCAGAGCTTGAGACAATTTCTCTCAGAACCTTCCTCCCTCCTCTGGCTGCCTCAGCTCTGACTCTAGATGTCCTCCACCACCTCTGCAAAGCCTCTCCAGCCCATGAGAGCCCAGGGATGGATTGGGCACGTCCCTGGTGGACTGGTCATCCCCCATCAGCAGGGACTTGTCCTGCCACCCCCTCCTCTCCCAGGCTGGGGAGAAAACTCTGCCTCCCCAGAAAAACCAGAGGTAGATGTGCCTGAGAAAACAGGCCCATGGGAACAACAGGACAGACATAATAAAACCTGAATTTGAAAAAAGTAAATAAAATAGCATCCCTCCCCAGCAAGTCTACCCGGGGCAGTGAGGTTCCAGGCTACCTTTCCATGCCAAGGTCAGCTGCAGGAACTGGAGACAGGGGAGCCCTGAGCAGACTCGGCCCAATGCCACAGGGTGGCTCTCCAGGCTGTGGGTGCCACATTGTCCTGACCCTGCCGAGGACAATACCCTGCCTACAGAGATGGCTTCTCTGGTCACAAGTAATTTCTCCAGAGTGAGAGAAGTGCCCAGAGAAGAGGTGGTCCTGAAATCTTTCACCCGGGGGCCGGAGAAGTGTCCTGAGAGGGATCCACGTGCCTAGCCCATCCCACCAGAAGAAGCAGTAGCCCCCATAGTATCAGAGAGGGCTCAGGACTCCTGGGTCAGTGTGGGCTAGCCTCTGTAGATGCCGAAGCATCTCTTCCTGGCCCCTGCTGTGACCTCTGCCAAACTCAGCATAGAACCAGGCGCCACCCCTAGGGCCTCTCCTGCTGGAGCCCTGGGGACAGGCCTGTGAGTAGGCATTCAACATGCAGCACAGGGGTCGCAACCCGCTAGCTAGCATCAGGAGGACCTTTGAGCTTGGCGCTCTGCTCCTGGCTTGCTTGTCAAAGGTTCAGTTTGACAACCTTGGCGGCCTTATGCCAGGCCCTTGTGCCAGGTGCTGGCACAGAGATGCTCCAGGCCTCGCAAGGTGACAATAGAGGAGTGGGGGGGGGGGGTGCAGGGAGCACCAGGGTTTATCCTCTGGCAAATGAGTTCACAGTGGCCATGCTGGACACTTGGTCCCAAACAGACCTCACCTTGGCCCGGAGCGGATACCAGCGGAAGGACTGTGTTGCTCTGTCTTCAAAGTCCCATGTGGCCAGAGGAACAGTCACTTCTCCAAGGAACACCCTCCTAGCGAGCGTGCCCAGGTGCCACACAGAGACTTGCAGCTGCCGGGTCACCAGCTGGGCAGCGTCCACCTGATACTGCAGTGCAGAGTGGAGACAGTCAGCCAGGCTCCCGGGCCCCGCCTCCCAGGGCCTGTCAGCCTCTCCCATAGCCAAGCTCCAAGATTTGGCTGCAGCCAGAGTCTCTATGGTCAGGGTGGCAGCTTGAAGCCAAAGCCAGGAAGACCCCTCTTCCTCAAGAGTCCCCCCACTCCCCAAGTGCCTGGGCTCTCAGTCCTCCATGCCACCCCTGATTCCTCACCCCCATTTCTCAGGACAAGATAAGAAGGAAAGTTCTCATCCAGTCCAAGGCTTCAGGAAATCAACCGAGATCACCAAAGCGGGACTTGGACATGGACCTGGCCTATACTGCACCCAGCTGGGTCCAAAAATACTAAAAATAAAACTATTGTTTTTAAAAATTACAAAGTATTGGGGCTGGGAGCCTGGCTCCATAGTAGAGCTCYTGCCTAGTGTGCCCAAGGCCTGGGTTTGACCATCAGCACTGCAAAAACTAAAACTCAAAAAATGAAAATACAAAGTCTGAGCTTTTACCCTTTAGGTTTGCCCTAGACAGACAAGGCACACAGATGGCAGCAGCCTGTGACACCTCAGCACTCCACCTGCCCCCTTTGGAGCTTGCAGCACAGGTGACCAGAGGCCAAAGGCCCCCTATGCGCCTGTCTGAAGGCTTCTCAAGGTGTGGCCAACCCCGCCTCAGCCCCAGGGTCTCTTTTGAAGCCTAGCAGTTGGATTGTCCCAACAGTGAAGACAGTCACAAGTTACTGAGCCCTCCTTCTGCAGGCTTCTGGCTGCCCAGATCCTTAGTTTTCACATGCATCCTGTGAGATCAGTATCACTTATCACCATGTGACCCTGAACACACAGCAGCCTAGAAATCCCCCGAGTCTCCTGTGGCCTAGAGGCCACCCATGGTGGGCCAGCCTCCTCACCTACTGTGTCCAGCCTGGGTTCTCACTGCTGGCCCTGCCTGGTGCTGCCCCCAACATGGCACTAGCTGGGATGTGACTCTCAACCCTTCAGGACCCTCTAGGCTGTCCCAGGGGAAGGCAGGACACTCACGGCCACCTAAAGCAGGTGGGCAGGGGTTGGTTTGGTTTTGATCTCATCTATCGCTGCCACCTTTCCCTTTAAGGGATGAGACAGAAACAAMCCAGAACTGAAGTGCACTTCTCCCCCTCGGTCTCCCCAGAGGGAAGGGAGGGGGGCTCTGTCCCTGGCCCTTCTGTCTTGGCTGTCCTTCTCTTCCTGCTGGGGTTGCTATGGCCAGTAGGTCAGGAGCTCTGGGCCGCGTTCCCCCTCCAGGGCTGGGCTGGTTTTCCATGCTTTCCCTCAGGTCCCTGGCCTGTTTGTGACTCTGCCCACATTCCTGGCTCTGGCTGGGAACTCTGGAGTAACCTGGCTCCTCCTGCCTGCCCCCCGCCCAATCAGTTAAGCCCAGACCTCTCTGCCCACCTGCTGCACTCTGAGAAGTTCAGCTGCTCCAGGGAGGGTCATGAGGCCATGGCCTGAGGCCACCCTCCTGGAGGCAACTCCCTAATCTCCACTGCTTTGTGACACACAGCAGCCCCTCCCCAACTCCCCCACTTAGCCCTGTTCTTCTCTTTGGGTCCTCACCTACTGGTCACCCTATCTGATAAGCAGGATAGCACTCTTCTGGTGACTGAATCTGCTGTGTCGAATTAAATTTTCCATCATCCTGTGGTCCACAGGCCTGCTCCAGCTGACCCCGAGAGTGCTACCCACTCCATAAGTTCTGGCATATAAGGATCTTCAGAGAACAGAAGGCTGCCCAGACCTGGGTCTCAGCTCGTCCTTCCCAGGTCCCCACTGCAAGGATCTCAACAGAGGGCTGCCCAAATTGTACTTTAATCAGGAAACTTCTGGATCCTCAAATTTCTCATGCACTTTTGTCAAAACCAGTTGGAGGACGCCCTGGAGGCTGTTATCTCCCCAACCTTCCTGTGGCCTGCCCTGGGCTCTACAGACCTGGGAGCCCAACCAAGGGGTAACTTGAAATACTGGTTTCCCCAAGGTTTTTAATGATTGATCTGCTCTCCAAGCCCTGCATCTTTTCTGTATTATGTGAATTTCTTTAAGAATAAATCTGGGGCTGGGGATGTGGCTCAAGTGGTAGCGCGCTCGTCTGGCATGCGTGCGGCCCGGGTTCGATCCTCAGCACCACATACAAACAAAGATGTTGTGTCCGCCGAGAACAAAAAAATAAATATTAAAAATTCTCTCTCTCTCTCTCTCCTCTCTCTCCTCTCTCACTCTCTCTTTAAAAAAAAAAAAAAAAAAAAAAAGAAGAAATCTGGCTGGGCACAGTGGCACATGCCTATAATCCCAGCAGCTCGGGAGACTGAGACAGGAGGATCACAAATTCAGTGCCAGCCTCAGCAACAGTGAGGCGCTGAGCAACTCAGTGAGACCCTGTCTCTAAATAAAATACAAAATAGGGTGGGGATGTGGCTCGGTGGTTAAGTGTGCCTGAGTTCAATCCCTGGAAACCAAAAATGAAAAAGAAAAATCTAGACTGTGTCGGGATCCTCTGAATTTAGATGAAAACTTGATTTTTTTTTTCAAAAATATCTGGGTAGTTTCCCAGGACTACAAAGACTACAAAATATTCACAATAGACTGGATGAAACCCTTGAGTAAATGTAATTTTAAATGATTTGAGATTCTGTGTATAATTTAAATAAAATAGGAAAAACTGTTTAAATTGACCTGTGTAATTAAATACTTATCTAAAACAGTCCCCATTTCATAAACCACTTCTAGCACAAAACACCTTATTAAACTTATGATGAGACATTTTAGATATCAACTTAAATGTGTGAGACAGCACAGAGTTTTCCAAATTCTCCAGCAGGCATGGGACTCCAGGGTGGTCTGCAGCCCAGGCCTGGCCAGGGGTGAGGAGTAGAGCTGAGTAGAAGAGAGTCATTGCAGGTCCCACCTACACCTGCTGAGTCAGACTCTGCAACTTTAAAATAACACCTCTGGGGGATTCCTAAGCGCAGGAATACCTTCCATGCTGGTTTCAAGCTAAGCTTTCAAGTACTCCCAAAGTCTCAGGTCCCCCATGGTAAATGAGGATTCTAATGCCTACATCAGTGTAGATATAAAGCACTTGACCTCAGCAGGGGGCCCAGCAAACAATGATGATTATTGTTTAATGAACTTGTCTGTGCCATCCACCCAGATGGCCCCTGGCTCGCAGTTCACAGATGCCTCTGCTTGCCAAGGAAGCAAACAAAACCCTCTCCTTTTGCCAGTGTGAGGTGGCAGGACTTCTGTTTGCCCAGTCCTGGCCGCGGTGTCCCCCAGGTCTAGGCTACCCTTCTGGCTGGGGCTCCCACAGTTGGCTGTCTGCCTGTGCTGGGCCTCCACTCTGCCTCTTCACCCCAAATCAGAGAATGACGTCTCAGCTCTGTCCTAAGAAATCATATTTCTTAGCATCAAAGAAAGTGAGAACCCAAACAATTTCTTTATAATTCTTTTCATAAAATAAGAAGAAAACAGGGTTTTGGGATATTACAATAAAGAGCACTTCATCAAAGGTAGTGACTTAGTCATTGGATTTTCAGGGCCCCCTGCTTGAAAATGCCTGATAATCATAAAAATTCCACAAGACAAACCAATTTCTAAGCCACTCTGTGCCCAGACATGGCCTGAGACATACAGGCAGTCAGATTCTTTCTCCCCATTTTCTTAGAAATCATTAATCAAAGCCCTGCTCTAATCTGGCCGACTCTGCACTTCTCCGGTTCAAAGGCTCAAATGTATCTTCACCCCACCTGCCACTGATTGACAGAGAAATGTATAGGTGTCTGCACTTGTGTTTAACTGATTTGAGGGTTTAAAGAGCCACCCATTGGACTCTGACCCGTGATATGAGCCCAGCCCAGGACGGGGAAGACACAGAGCATGAATGTACTCATCCACAAGCACCTTCAGGGTCTCCTGAAAGGTAGGGTCCAGTGTGTTCTTTTGGACTGCAGTCTTGCGTTTTCCCTGAGACGATCGGTCAGGCAGCAGGTAGGTCTTTATGTACCTAGTGGCCAAATGCAGAAAGACAAACTGAGGCTCTGAGGGTGAGCGGGCTCCAGAGGAGCAGAGCGCACATATGAACCTTTTCTTTACCCTGTTTCGGACTAGTTTTTGAGCTGATAGAAAGGACTCAGGGACCAGGACTGACATGAACAATGTTAGTGCTGAGTGTACAGCTGCTGATTCACAAGGTCATGGCAAGGGGCTGGAGTGGAGCTCCCCCTGCATTGCTCATCCCCTGCTCCTGGAACCTACAGCCCCCTCCTCCTCGTCACCTGCCATTTGATGAGGACCATGGAACGGGATTCTCCAATCTGCCTGGATGTCCAGGCCACACACCAGCTTCCCCTGTCTGCACCTCCACCTGCATTTCCTCCAACCCACACAGCGGAAGTGGAAATGGAAAGCTCCTGACTCCGGGGCCTCAAAGGCTGCACATCTTCTGACTGCTGAGGCAGTTTTGAACTTTTATATCCACAGGACTGTGTACAGACATTCTTTTACAACTTGTTTTTCCTATCCATATGTTTGAGATTCGCCTATATTGCTATGTGTAGCTGCAGTTCATTCATTTACATTCCTACACATTGTTCCATTATATGAAGATGACACAAATCATTTATCCTTGTGAGGAACCTTTGTCTTATGCCTTAGTTTTTGCTTTATAAACAATTCTGCTATGACCATTCCACCATGCATGTGTGAGCGCTTCTCTAAGCACAAAACTAGAAGCGACAGGGCAATGTGTTTCCCTCCACACCCACACCAGTGCTTGGGGTGGAACCCAGGGCCTTGGGCATGCTGGGGAAGTACTCTACCACTGAGCTACACCCCCGCCAGCATGTGCATTTTCAATTTCAGCAAATTATGCCAAATTACTAATTAAATTTCTCTAAAACATTTTAGGACTATTTAAGCTTTCTATTTCATCTCGTGTCAAGCTTAGAAAATTTGTGTTTTTTAAGAAATGTGTCCATTTCATCTCAGTTATTAAGTGGTGTTTTTGTTTGTTTGCTTGTTTGTTTGTTTGTTTGTTTGTTTTTTTGGTGCCCAGGGGCGCTCAACCACTGATCTACATCCCCAGCCCTATTTCATATTTTATTTAGAGACAGGGTCTCAATGAGTTGCTTAGTGCCTCACCAAGGGTGAGGCTGGCTTTGAACTTGCCATCCTCCCATCTCAGCCTCCCATGCCTCTGTGATTACAGGTGTGCGCCACAGCACCCAGCTTCAGTTGTTAAGTTTTAAATAATATCCTCTTCTTATTCATTAATGGGTAAGCTTTGCCACAGTGTCTCTTTTCGTTGGCATTTGTATATTCTCTTTTTTAAAATCTTGATAAAATTTACCTCAGTGTTTACCAATTTTTCTAATTTTTTTCGAAGAACTGACATTTGGGTTCATTATTTTTTCTCTATTGTTTTCTATTTCATTGATTATTGATCTTTACTATTTCCATCCTTCAGAATTAATTAATTATTTTTTTCTAGTGTTTTAAGTTGAAGGTTTAAATGATTCACTTTTAATCTTTCTTCTTTTTAAATAGAAACACTACTTCAAATGCATTCCTCAAATTTTAAAATGTAAAAGTCAGGGGACATTTTGGACCATTCTTGGGTGTATGGTATAAGTAGAAGAATATTACAAGTTATAGACCAGAAGTACAAGTAAGATGGTTATGGAGAACCTTAATTGCTATAGAAATTTGTACTATTTTTTTTTCTGACACTGAAGAAACATTGAAGGTCTAAGTACTAATGTGAAAAACAGTTCTGTAGAAAAATGTATTCACAACCTCAGGTTGTATCTCTACAGACAGATACACATACACCAAAAAAATATTTTGTGTGTGTGTTTATATGCATGTATGTATTATATATGTGCTGTGGATAGACCCCAGGGCTTTGTGCATACTAAACATATTCTCTACCAATGAGCTGCACACCAGACATCCCAAAGCAGAGATTTTAAAGAAAAAGATACACGAATTAATATTATCAAAATTTCTACCAAGAAAAATCATCACAAATAGGCTGGGGTTGTGGCTCAGTGATAATGTGCTTACCTGGCACATATGAGGCACTGGGTTCGATACTCAGCACCACATAAAAATAAATAAAAATAAAACAAAGAAATTGTGTCCATCTACAACTAAGAAAAAAAATTTAAAAAAAGAAAAATCATCACAAAGAGATTAGAAAATAAAGAATAGCTGAGATAACATGTATCAAATAAGGCTGGCTATGGCAAAGCAAACCTACAATCCCAGCTATTGGGGAGGCTGAGGCAGGAGGATCACAAGTTTGAGAACAGCCTCAGATACTTAGCAAGACCCTGCCTCAAGATAAAAAATAAAATGGGCTAGGCATGTATTTCAATGGTAGAACATCACTGGGCTCAATCCCCAGCACCAAAACAAAAACAGACAAAAAGTAACGTACAAATAACCAATGAAAAGCTTTTAAAACCTATTCAGAATAGGTTCTTGAAAATATTTTCCTTCTGAGTATGGTGGCACATGTCTATAATCCCAGCTATTCCGGCAGAGGCAGGAGGATCACACATAAAAAGGTCTGGGGATGTAGCTGAGTGGTAGCATCTGAAGTGTACTTTGCATGTGGGATACCCAGGTTTAATCCCCAGCACCACACACACACACACACACACACACACACACACACACACACACACACACACTCTCTTATAATTTTCTTGTGAGTAAATAAGAAAATGACAAACCAATAGAAAACTGGGCCAAAGGTATGAACAGAATGTTCCCAGAAGGAGAAATCTAAGAGGTTAATGTGGGTGTGTATGAAGCTGCTCGTCTTTATCAGGTAATCAGGGATACACACATTTAAATAACGGTGATACAACATTTCTTATCTATTAGTTGGGGAAAATTAATCTGTTAATGAATTGTGTGAAGCACAATTCATTTTGTTTTTCCTACATGGAAAGGCAAACTTTCCAACACYATTTGTTGATGTCCACCTTTCCTCCCTGATTTGTAATAGTCCCTTGCAATAGACTGAATGTTTATGTGCTCCTAAAATTTATATTGAAACTTAACCCCCAGTGTGATGGCAGTTGGAGATTGAGCCTGGGGGAGGGGACCTGGTGGGAGGGAGCCCTGGTGAGGGGATGGACTAGTGCCCTCTTTTTATAAAAGAGTCCTCAGAGGGCTGTCTCACCCCTTCTTCTGTGATGACATGGACGACAGAAGCTGATGGCCACCTATGAACCAGGAAGCCCACCCTCACCAGGCTCCAAATCCATCAGCACCGCGGAATCCTCACCATCCAGAATGGGGAGGAATGAAGTTCTGCTGTTCAGAGGCCGTCCTGTCTGCAACCTTCTTTAACAACAGCTAGAGWGGTCTAAGAACCCCTTGATCATAAAGTTCCCACATATTCAAAGGTGGACAGCTAGACTTCTGATTCTGCTCTGTTGAGCCATCTATTTTTGCCTCCATAACTTAGTTTGAATTACTACAGCTTTATGAAAATTCTTGAAGTAAGTAGTTTCTATTTTTGTTCTTTTTTATAATCATCTTTGTTATTTTGGGATTTTCACTTTTCCATATAAATTTTAGAATCAGGACATCTATCATCTTATGTTAAAACTTAAAAAAAAAAACTCACGGGTTACACTTTTTCTTCTTTTCTTCTCCATAAGCAAGGTTCTTACAGGTTTTGATGCATATTTCTAAAGAATGGGTTTTGAAGCAATAACGAATGGCAAATTCTATTTCTCCAGTGACATTAGYGTTGTCAAAATTACCCATCTCTGTGCAAGTGCTGTTAATGCTAATTAAACTTCCCTGAAATAAAAAATGACAGATGTAATAAATTACTTCACAGTTAAAAGTTTTTTTGGCAGTCCTGATTTTAAGGTATCAAATCAATCTCAATTCATACAGAGCATGTATCCTGACTCATATTAAGTTACCTTGTACCCGTTTGTACTTTGCCAAAATAAGCAGCCACCTGTTCGATCCTGAGGAGATGGGGAATCCTCAGAAGGACCTCTCCTTCCAGATATGGTCTTTGCCTAGCAATAAAGGTTACGCAATCCCACTCTTTAACACAAGTCACTTAGGACAAGATGGACTATATCTGTGCAGTTCTGCCAAGACAAGGTCCTGCATTCAAGGCAGCCACGTATAAAGAACGCGGCCTAGCGTGGGCAGGGCCTGAGCCTGGGAGTCCGACAGACCTGATTCAGATGCTGGCTCTGCTACTCATTAGCAGTGTCCAAGTCTAACTAGGAGAGACTGGTGTCTTAGGGTTTTGGTGAGGACTGACAGGAACGAGGTACAGGAAGTGTGCAGACAGAGGAAATGATAAATTGTTTTAATGTTAATGGGTACCTAAAATTAAAAAAGAAACACTGTCATCATAAATGAGGGGGTTCTAAGCTTACATGGTGGCTATAAGTAGCAGAGGAAGCCTGTGCCTAGAGGATAAAATAAACCACCTTTCAATAATTAGATTTGCTTAGACAACTGCCACCATTTGCATGCAACTGATCTCAGTGCTGTCTTTGTAGGAGTAGAAAAGAAGTGTGATTTCTGCTGGCAGTGGGTTCACTGATTATTCATATTAAAAAAACATAGCTACAATCTCTACCTTATACCATTTACAAAAGAATTAACAAGCTGGAGCACAGACCTAAACATAAAAGCTCAACATTTTTTAAAATATATTTTTAGTTGTTGATGGACACTACACCTTTATTTAATTTATTTATTTTTATGTGGTGCTGAGGATCATACCCAGGGCTTCACGCATGCAAGGCGAGCCCTCTACCACTGAGCCACAACCCCAGCCCACTAAAAGCTCAACTTTTATTAAGCTCCTAGTTGAAAGCAGGAGACCATCTTCTTGGCTTGTAGAAAGACAAGACACAGAAGGGACTACACTAGAACAATTTGATAAATTAGACTTCATTGAACTTAAAACCTTTTCCTTGGGCTGGGATTGTGGCTCAGCGGTAAAGCGTTTGCCTAGCACATGCGGGACCTGGGTTCTATCCTCAGCACCACATAAAAATAAAGGCTTGTGTGTTGTGTCCATCTACACCTAAAAAAAAATTAAAAATAAAAAAAAGACTTCAACCTGTCTTAAAAAAAAAAAAAAAAAAAAACCTTTTCCTTGAAAGAAACACTCATTTTATTCAATACTCTTTGAATGAAAATGTTCATGATAAGATGTAAAAAAGGGAAACCACCCTCAAAACGTAGCAAGGCTCAATATGACCTCCAGGCTCTGCTGTGCTCCAAGTCACCTCTCCCCTGCCCTTGTCCACCAGTCCAGTTTGATGTTTTTTACTCTATTGGTTCTGGTTTTGGTGCTAAGCATATACTGACGTCAGGAGGAAGAGATAAGGCTGGGAAGATAGGGAGACGGGCCCCTGGTCACTTCCTGGGCAGCAGAGCACAATCAGCACCTGCAGATATTTGCTAAGAAACTTACAAAAAAAGGCTGTTCTTAAATCAGGGCCTACGTGACTAGGGGCCATGCCACTCCAAAGAAGGAAAAATGCCTGATGGATGTTTYGATTGGACTAAAAGCTGCAGGAATACCTAGTGGACACTGAATGCCTTCCCCAGGATTGGGCAGGAAGCTAGCCGACTTAACCCTACAGACCTATATAAATGCCTAGACAATAGCCCCTCTTTGGCATCCTTCTCTTGGGACCCCTCTCTTTTGGGGAACTCTGCTTTCTTTCTATTACTCTAATAAATCCTGTTACTTTGCTCTCACCCTTGTATCCATGGATCTTATTCTTCAAATTCATGAAACAACTTGACCCCACCCTCAGTGCTACACTACCATTCAGCTAGACCCCCAGCCCCCGMGTGGTGTCCTAGTGACCACCATTCTGTGTTAAGAGTGTTGGGACAAGACTCACACGTCTCAAGCCTCCCGAGAACAAAGGGCTGGGGGAGGGGCCCAGTGAAAGAGCATCTTGCTTCAAACCAAGGCTGGCAGAGGGTCTGGGATCCTCTTGAGGAAGAGGCTTGGAAATATCTGGTGTGCTGACCTTYTGGAGAAGGAAAATCAAAATTAATAGGATGGCCCACATGCCCATTTGACTCTCTTCAAATGCAGAGACTTCAGCAAGCACAGCCTGCACCTATCACTTGGTAGGAGTCATATAAACTTGGAGTGACTGAGTAAGGGAGACACTTGCGTTTGGATAAATGTACCCCCCACCCCCGCAGGGCCTGAGGAAGACATTGTCAAGCTCTGGGATAGTCATGAACATGGATGGGTGAGCTACTTATGGATTAGTAAAAGTCTTAAAAGAAGTGCACCCTTTGGCCTTCATAATGATCCTGGCATTTAATCACATGAAATATAATATTCAATCTAATACACAGTAAGATTTAAATGCTCATAAAAAGAGAAAAATCAAGCCAGGCATGGTGATACTTGGCTTTAATCGCAACTATTCATGAGGCTGAGGCAGGAGAAGAGCAAGTTCAAGAGCAGGCTGGAAAACTTAGTGGGACCTTGTCTCAGAAGTAAAAAGGGCCAGGGATATAGTTCAGTAATAAAGTATTTATCCAGCACATACAAGGCCCTGGGACCAATCCCTAGTACCAAAAAAAAAAAAAAAAAAATGTGGGAGAGATCAAAATATACCTCTAAATTTTATAAAGCTACTTTTTAAATTGTTAACACTGTTTATAGCTGAGCTTCCCAACACGATAGCCATTGGCCACATAGGACAACTTGAATTTAAATTCAAGTTTATTAAATTAATAAGCTCAGCTGCTCATTTGCAYTGGACACATTTCAAGTGCTCAGACACCACGTGTGACAGTGGCTACTATATTGGACAGTTCACACTGTCAAATAAAGAACATTCCACTGCTGCAGGAAGTCCTGTCAGACATCACCAGTAGAGTAATACACATAATATGGAAGTTAGAAAAATTGCTTCCAGACCAACAGTCAAAAGTTTCTGAATTGAGGCTTCCRTCTTGGTGCTAGGTTGGAAGGAGAATTCATATACCATCTGCACCAGAGTCCTAAACGTCATGAATGAGATGCTAAGTGAGAACACCAGAGAACTAACAGAAGAATGGATCATCTCCAAATCACTGTCTGTGCTCTTCATCTCCACAACACCAACTCAAGACCAAGAGACAGTCACACCACACTCCACTGCATCCACGGCTCTAAACCCTGGGGTTGGAAGAGGATCCAAAGCTGGCATCAGGTCTCACCCACTGCAGGGAAGATAGAGGCACCAGCCACTTGGTGGCAAAGAGGTGAGGGGAGATTACTGGGTGTGGGACATCTGGGGTGACCTTCAGTGGGGGTATGACCTGAGTGGGGTGCTGGCAGGTGGCTGGGGAAGACCAAAAGCTAAAGCAATTGGGGCACAATTCCTAGGCCTACAGAGACTCTGGGGCCAGGTAGACCAGACCCAGGGACCATGAGCAGACAGGGATGTGAGCTTGTCCAGGGGGCTCCAAAGGGTGGGCAGAGAAGGCCACCAAAAGCCCTGTTTCCCAGAGTCCTGGAAGATGGGCAACTGCCACCAGTGGTCAGGTGAACCAAGTCCCTCAGAGGCAGCCAACTTGGCAGAACTAAAAGTCCTAAAAACTAGCTGTCAAAGGAACCTATGTGTTGATATGGAAAGAACAAGTTAGACTCTTCCTTAAAAGCAAATGACAAACGGGGACCTGGGGTGGGTGCCCTTTCTGTTAAATGGAGTCTGTGGAGTGCAGAGGCATTTTATTGTGTAAGGCACAGAGGACTGGGATGTGTGTACATGGCGAGAGGCCCAGAGGGGCTCTGGAGGGAAGAGACCCCACCCAGGCTCAGGAACAGGGGAAAAGGCAGCCAGGAGACCGGCAAGTGCCCAGGGAAAGAGGCTCTCTCCTGCTTCCACTTCCAAGGGCCTGGAGCCCTGGAGGGTTCATGACACGTGCTAGGACAGACTTCATAGAAATGATAGGTGAGTGTCTTTCTGAGAAGAGACAGTGGAGAACTCCCACCTGGCCCCTCCCAACCTGTGGGACACAGCAAGAGGGCAGGAACCTTCCAGCATCTTGATCCCAGACTTTGAGCTCCCAGAATTGAGAGAAAATGATTGTCAGATGTTTAAACCACCCSATCTCTGGTAATTATGTTTTGGAAGCTTGGCTGACTGCTATAGTGTTCAACATACATTTTAAAAATCATGTCTTTTTGAATCATAAGAAATTAATGGCAGAAAGTTTTGGAAAGGAACAAAGAGAACTATCTTTACAATAGAGGTTAYATGGCACATTGGATTCATGGCCAGGGAAGACTCTCATAGGTCAGGACACAGGAAAACCTTCAATGGAGTTAAAACACAAATGTAAATATTTCAAGATTATTAGGAAAGCAGATACTATTCTGAAGGGTTATTTTTAATTCACTATGGAACCCAAGATGAAGTTCTGGGTTCAGCTTTTCCCCCAGTAAATTCTGAAGGATCTGGACAAGACTGTCAGATCCAATGTCCTCCGAAAGGGCTTCAAGATCCTAGGAGTTTATCAATGGCATTGAGATGGGCATTGTCCCCCTGCCCGTAACTGTGATATTTTTTTTCCTTTTTCCTTTTTATTTATTTATTTCTGTGATTTTTTAATGTACTTCAAAATTATCTAGTTTTAGTTAGACCCAGAGACAAATGGTGGCCCTGAATGAGGTCTAGTCTGCAAAGCGTKTGACATTATGTGGGAAAGATCAGCAAGTAGTAAGTTTCATTCGATCAAATTATGAACCCTCTGGAAGAGTTTTGCTGTTAATAGCTAAGAACACAGAAAATAATAGAAGGAAGAGCAACTGTGCCTCTGTGACTCCCTCTGGGGACGACCTCAACTTGAAAGCCCACTTGAGTACAGAAACCACTCGGTTTGGCTCGGCCAGTCACATGCTCGGAGCAGGGGCATCCCTCTGGAGGCAGACCACCTCTCCTGGGGCACAGGAGGGTCACTGCCATCCGGCCTGGTGTTAGCAGTGAGAAATGACGCTGCTACTCGCCTGGCCTCCTCCGCCCACTCCGCCTCTGGGATGCGGCTGCTGGTGGCAGGGAAGACRTGCAGGGACTTAGACATCACACAGTACCAGGAGAGTGAGATGAAGCAAAGTCCTTTTCCTCCACCTTTATCCCCAGGCCCTCTCCCCAGAGACAGCCCCTCCTACCAGCTTTTTATAATGCTCCCTGTTTAACAGGTACATGTTTTTATGGGCAGTATAGATCAACCACATGTTCATAAGGTACAATAAAACCCACTGGAATGCACACAAGGAGAGCTGGGGAGAACTCACTTCGGAAGAATCCTGGCCCAGATGCTCCAGGGAGGGTCTCGGAGCACTTTCAGAATATGCTCTTCAAACTTAATGACCAGAAACTTGGAAGAGATCCTGAGCCACTTGTTCGGTTAACAGCTCTGAGCCACCCCAGGGGTCTAAGAAAGCTACTTAAACCAAGGGCAGCAGTGCATACCTATAATCCCAGCATTTGGGAGGCTGAGGCAGGAGGATGGCTTAAGCCCAGGAGTTCAAAACCAGTCTGGGAAACACAGCAAAACATTTCAAATGAGAAAAAGAAGAAGAAGGTCATCTATTAGCTCTGTGCCATAGCCACCTGCAAGGTGGGCACCAACGACCGATACTTCCAAGGGCACTATGTCGTATGATTAATGTTGGCAATACGTTCCAAAGTGTTCTCATGGAAACAAGTACCATTACTGTGAGCTCTCCAGCTGAGGCACCTGTGATTGCAGTCTGGAAAATGTCCTATTAAAGGATGTACTCCTTATTTTTCAACCCAATAATTATTTAGCATTTATAGATTATGTTTGCTGAGTTTTGGTGGAGTATAAACATTTGGCTAAAGTACTCTGTGAAACAGCCATATCCTCAATGACACTGGCAGAGAGAAGTCCTGCCACAAGTGCAAGCATGTCCTGCCCAGAGCCTGGCAACAGAGGGCACACACATGTAAGGGTCCATGCAGGTGGGCGCTCTACCCACAGCCTCCCCCTGCACCTCCTCACTTCTATCCCTGAAGTCTCCTAGCCTACTTGAAAACCTCCACAACTGCTTGGCAGGCTCTATTCTGTGGGCACAAGCTGCAGGGGAACAGTGCACCAAGGATGCCACATTATGACAGCATTCCCAAAGCCCAAAGCAAGGCCCGTGGGAGCTTGGTGTGCCCCACACAGCACACCACACCACAGACGGGAAAGTACTGAGTCTCCACAGCAGGGTACCATGGGGAAGGTCCTGGGGCAGGTTCTATCTGACCCCAACCCTCCTGACCCCATGAMCCCCTTCTGCCCACATGACCCCCAAAGGTCCTCATCTCCAATGGGGACAGCAATAATGCAACCCTCACGGGTTGTTTTAAGGATCACAAAGATTAAATACCAATAAGGGCTCTCTGCAGAGAACCGTGCCCAGAGCACTGCTGACCTGTCAGTGTTGGCATCAGAGTGGCTTCATCAGACCCAGTAAGAGAATTGTTCACACTTCCAAATCCCTCTGGAACCCTTTTTTTCTCAGTGGCCCTCGCTTGTCCTTACATGGGGCATAGATAGAACAAAGAGGCTAAATTTTTCTGACTTAAAAATCATACAAACCCAGGTTCTATTTCTGGCTTCTTTTTTTGTTTTTTTGTTTTTAAGCTATGAGCTGCTAGTGAAGTTGGTTAACCTCTCACTGACACTCAGGTCCTTGATTGTTATCATGGGAGTTTTTGTGAGACACAAGGTGATGACGTGGTTCATGGTGAACACTAACTCCCCGACTCTGGTCTCTTCAGGAAGAGCAGTGGATTCTGGTGTGAACTGATGCTTATGCACACCTGAGAATTTCAAAGACCTTCAGGGTTTCAAATACTCCTGGCGCCTTCTCCTACAGGGTGGGGAATTGAGAGTCAGTGCCCAGAGCTCAGCCTTCAAGCTGGTTCAGCTACGTCACTGTGGCCTGTGATGTAACCCTACCAAGGCTCCATGCTCCTAGATGTAAAGAGGGGCTGCCTGCAATACCTACCTCCTAGGGTGGGTATGTCACTAAAATGAGATGCCCCAGCAGAGCTCCTACACAGAGCATGGCGCATCATAATCAACGCCAGCAATCTGAAGAAGGTGTTTGGAGGACTTCGCTGGCAAATGAGATAGTACAGCACTCAAGGGAGACCTGCGAGAACCCTGTGCTGGGGAACAACAGGTGACTTCATTTTACAGGGGGAGTCCTGGGCTCAGGTGCGAGGCAGCAGATGGAGGCAGAACCTAGCACCTTGAGAACAGGTGCTGAGGTTCTAGCAAGACAGTGGGCTAACGGGAGGACAGTATCTGGGGAGGTCTCCAGGGGATCCCACGGCCACAGAGAAGGGACATGTGTCCCATGCAGCTGAGCAGAGCAGCCATAATAACGCTGCACACCACATGGCTGGCACCTTCCCAGTCAGGTCACCTCAGCTGGACTAGAACCCAGGCGTTCTGATCCCAGAGCCAGCTTGCTCTCGTCCTGGTCTACCCGCTGCGGGCCAGGTAGGTGAGCTCGCCCTTGGTTCAGACACGGGGAAGGAGCCCCCTGCTTGAACATGATTATGCAGTATTTGTGTTTTCCATAGTTTCCATCAGAGACCAGGACAGATTATAACTAAAGGCTGTTGATCCTGAACATAAGTGAGGGGTTCCACAGACCCTGGGAACGACGGCAATCACAGGTCCTGCAGGTGCTGTGGCCTTGAAGCCCGTGGGCAGAAGCCTTGGGGACTCATGGCCACACTAAAGCTTGTAGCTGCTCTGAACAGTTGTGCAGGTCGAACTCCTTTTCTTTTTGAGGCTCCTGGGCTCAAGGATCCTCCTGTCATCCTCCCAAGCAGCTGAGACAATAGGCACAAGTCACCACACCTGTTTTGATCTTAAATTCTGACTCTCCTTTGGCCAAATGCAGGRGCTTCCAATCACATTTTTCAGACTGTGAATTGTTTTGCTATCAAAGGAAAAACAAAAGGAAAAATCGACAGAGAAAAAGACTGGAAAGAGAACACAAAGGGGGCGGTGCAGGGCGGGGGCCTCAGGTACCCTGGTGGTGACGTTGACCGCAGTGTCTGACTGGCTCCGTCTCTGCGTCTGGCCTGCACACTGCCTGGGGCTGGTGGCTAGAAGATGCTTCTCAGACGTCATGTCATTCTGGGACTTGGAGAGCTCTGGAACACAAACACAAGGGATGACAGCTGGGAGCGCACGGCTTTGCGGAGTCCCATGGAGCCCTCGCCTGGGATTCCTGAGACCCGCAGACCCGGGGGCCCAGGTGGGCCAGAAGGGGCTGGGGGGGAACAGGGAGGGACCAGGGAGGGGCAAGGGAGGCCTGTTCACCATGGAGCATGGGGGCACCCAGAGGAAGCCAGAAACTGCTGGACACAGGGCCGGAGGAGGGCTGGGGTCCTCTAAGGGGCCTCCTGTGGTCACACTCTACACCCCCGACAGGTGGAGCCTGGGAGAGTTGAAGGAACCCCCCAACTTCCCCAGTATTCCCCATCACTCATATGAGTACACACTTGTCCAGACCCAAAGATGGCAGCCACCAAGCAAGCTGGCTTCCCAGGGGTTCCTGACAGAGCTAGAGCTTTCGTGACTCAACACGGCATCTTAGGACTCTTAGAAGGGCAGGGAAAGTAAGATCTGAGGTGTCCTTACAAGTATCTCARTAAGAAAGCAGGCCCTGAGAAGAGGACTCAAACGTTTGTCTTTGCAGCAGAACACTGGTCTAAAACAAGAGTGAAAGAAGGAACCGTGCACAGAAGGGAAGATCCGCCTCAAAGATGCTGCCTCCTCCTCAGGGGCTCCCTTTCCCAGGAGGCCTCCCCCTCTGGGCCCTGGAGCTACCTTCCTACCGCACTGCTGTCTGCTGAGAGACACAGTTCAATCACTTATGAGTCTGAGTTTTTGCAAGCCACATTAGGTAAAAAGACACAGGCAATATTAATTTTAATTCTGCATTCCATTTGATGCTATGTCCAAAATGCTATTAGAACATGTAACCGATATCAAAGTTATTCATGAAATAGTTAACTCTCTTTAACTCCAAGCCTCTGAAGTCTGGTGTGTGTCTGACTCTGGCAGCACATCCTGTGACTACATTTCAGGGCCACAGGAGCAGCAGTAAGGGWCAGCACAGCCTCAGGCCAGCCCTCTGTCTTCTGGTCCACCCACTGAGCCACACTGCCTCTGCATTGGCTACCTATGAGCTGACTCCTGCCTGCACGGCCATGGGGAGGTCCCTGGCAAACGCCCCCAAGCCCCAGGGCACCCACCCTTGCCCACCTCGCCATCATCCTGTCCCAAGAGCCCTGTCTCCCTGCTACCTCAGATCTAGTACTAGCAGTGTCTGGGGCGTCTCTCAATGTCCAGCAGCTAGGAAGGACTAGCACACTCCTGTCCTCCAGCCCAAGTCACCTCCATGAGCTCCCCATGTGGCYAACCCAGGCTGGCTGAGCACGTGAGAGACCCCAGTTTCCAACCCCCAGGAGATGCCGTCCCTCCTCGCTGCTCCCCCCATCATCTGCTCAGGGCTCACCCCACAGCCTGAGCCTACTTGGTCCACTGCAAGCCACAGAATGAGGAGKGAATCTCCTTGAGCAGCTTGGGTTCTGACAAGAAGGCCTGGTTACCCATCGGCAGGGCTAGAGGACACTAAGAGCCCTGAGCAAGAAGCCATTCCTCTTTCCCTTCCCAGGCGACAAGCTGCCGCCACCTCCTAGAGATGAGCTGATAACAGAAGGGCTGTTGGAGCAGTAATAGCAGCCAGAGGTCACTGTGAGTCAGCCTCCCAAGCCCCACGGGCAAGGCCTCCTCCTCCATGCYAGGTCTTTGGTCCCTGAAGAGCCTGGGCCCTTTCTAGCCCCTCCCATGACCACGAGGTACCAGCCTGACATCCTGCCCACAAGGGGGGTTTCCTCTGCACCCACTTTGGTAGGGAAAAGGGTTGCAGCACAGATCAAGAGGACACGTGGAGAATCACTCAAAACCTGAAAAAACACGAATCAGTGCCTACAAGATGTTGCGTGCCCTGCGGCAGACACAGGGAAAGGGGCCGGTGGAGTCATGTGCCTGTGCCTGCAGACCAAGCAGGAAGCACTCAGGAGAGTTCTCAGGTTCTTGGCCCTTCCCAGGAGCCAGAAAGCAGGGCTTGAACTACCCCTCCCTCTGGGATGAGGGCAGCAGGGACAGAGGTCACGGAGCTTCAGCTGAGTCCCCTAGCTCAGAGGGACACTGCTTTGCTCTCATGAATCCCCGCCCTCACCCCACCCAGGGATTAGCTCTAGTTGTCCACCCAGGTGTCTAACTGGCAAACCTCGGATGAGTGAGCAGAGGTACGTGAGGCTGTGGGCATGTCCCTCAGGAGACTGTGCACCCAGGGCCCTTTTGGAGGAAGCTTAGGTTGGGGTCCATTCAGGGCATCGATTCCAGTAGCAGTGGAGGGAGGGATTCACACAAGCCCTGTGGATCTGGGGAGGAGCGGCACAGCTAAGATGTGGAGCAGGTCCCACTAGAACCTGCCGTGGAAGGGAGCCAGCTGGGCGAGCATGGGCAGCTCCACTGCCAGGCTGAGGGGCACAGGGGGTCTGGTGGGGTGTGTGTACGCTAGGAAAGCTCTGCAGGGTACGATGGGTGATTGTTAAACCCCCAGGCACTGTTGCCAACAGGCCAATGAAATCCAGTTGCTTCTCCCTTCTGAAAAAGAAGGCGACAGACCCTTGCTTGTGTWGTCACAGTTGTTCTTAACTGAAGAGCAGGGGTTGGATTTCAGTTGTCACCAGGGGACAGCTTAGACAGGCTCATGTGGACTACAGACGACTACTTAAAATCAAATCATCAGACGGTCTTGGAGCCAACAGGGGACAATGAGACCATCCACAGGCAACCTCAGGGAAGGAGGTGATGAACCGAAGCCAGACAGGCACAGACAAAGGGAAACGATGCCCCAGGAGCCCTGATCCCACCAAGGACCCTGTCTGACCCCGGGCCTGCCCTGCATATCTTAGGAGGCAGGAAAGGGTCCAAGACCTGAATTCTAAGATAAGCAGGAAAAGGGGAAAAAAAAAAAAAAAACAGAGGGGAGAAGGTCCACTGAGGGAGACAGGGTTCCAGCTGAGGTGGTTAACTGCATTTGCAAACTATAGGGTAACTGCCAGAGGAAGACCAGACATTGATAAGGAGAAAAAGAAGACAAGTAATTCCATGCAAGTGACAGATCCTGGACCCCATGGCCTTGAAGGTTCTTGTTTRGGATTCACTGGAATCTTCATGTTTTCTTTGTTGGTCTCCCAGAATCCCCTGGGAAGCCCACACATGTCGACCTCCCTTGTCCATGGCGCCCAACTAGGCAGGTTCGGGCCTGGAAAGGAGGAAACTGGGCCAACGAGTGGACTGACATGGCATCTCCTCCCGCAAGGAACCAGAGGCCTGCTCTGTGGGTGGCGAGATGAAGGGCCCAGTGCTGTGGCTTTCCCGAGAGTCCAGGGACASTCCCATCTGAGGCGGCCTGCCTGTCTGCCTGTGTGGCATGGGAAGGACACATCCTGAGGCATTGACTTACTTTTCACGTGGGTGGTAACAGACAGAAACAAATTCTCCACGGACTTATTAAATCCTCTGAACTGACCAAGTTCCTGTAACTAAAACAGACACAGAATGAGTTAATGCTTGATGGCCTGCTTTGCCCCGCGTCTCTAGACTGTCGGGCCCCAAAACACTGCAGATGGGTGCGGGTGCTCATTGGGCATGCAGGTGGGGGTGGGGGTGGAGTGACCCTCCCAGGACTAGGCACCCCTGCTACGCAGCGTCTCCGCTCTATATTTTGATATCCTCATAAAGGAAGAAGCATTATCAACATGTGGTTCATAAGATAACAACTACCTCTCAGACAGGATGAAGGATAGTTCCTTAGCTCAAAGATTGTACCCAAGTAAATGACTGTTTGTCTAACCTCCTTTTTCTTATGGCCCCACCCTAACTCCATGCACAAAGGGTACCAACGTTGGCAAAATGCAGGTGACACGGGGGCTGAGGATGGTATAAGGCACAAAGTGACCAGCTTRGAGTCAAGGAGTTCCACCTCCCAAAGCAGAAGCAGGGAGAAAAATACAACACAAAGACCACTTCCTTCTCCAAGTCTCATCTGTGTATCCACCCACTGTCCATCCAGCCATGCATCCACCATCCATCCGTGCATCCATCATCTGTCCATCATGCATCCAACTGGTAAATATGTGTTGAACATACAAGTGCTGGAAATGCTTTGGAGAATTTAAAATCTCCAGGGGAAGAACAGCAGGATTTTGAAGGTCACCCCAGAGTCTCAGCTTAAAATTGGAAAAGAATGAACATATTGTCTCCATTGGCAGACAAGGGTGTTCTCCCAGATGCACAGATGTAAGTGCTCCCCTTAATTTATAGGATAAAGGAGATAAAYCCACATTTCCATGTCACTTTTATAGTTTTATGATACTTTTTCATTGATTTCTCACAATAGCCATGGGAGACCATCCAGACAGAATTATTTCCACTTCTCAGGTGCGAAACCCAGACAACTCCCCCAAGATCACAGCTAATTCCTTGGGATGGAAATGGCGCTGCTCCACTTTACATTAGATCCTGCCAACACTCAAAAGCCACAGGCCCTGCCAGCTCTCATACACCGTACGTCCATCTGTATCTCCCTGGGGCTCCCCTGCGACCCTACACACAAGTCAGCTTATCCAGAACCTCACACACTCACTCAAAGGCACAGTGCATAGCTGGGGGTGAGAGCTGATCGCAAGAGCCAAAAGATGAGGGTGCAGGTGCAGGCAGCGGGGTGGCCCACCGGGCAGATGGCCCATGGCCACCAGCCCACGAGGGTGGGAGCACTTCCATGCCTCCACGGGGATCTTTGCCCTCTGCCTGGCTCTGGGACCCACCCAGCCAAAGCAGGACCCCTCTGCTCCCAGGCCAATGGCCCCTCTCCTGCCTCCTCGCATCTCCCCCGCCGGCTGCCCTCCAGGACACTCACAGGCACACRTACCCTGCCAGGGCTGCCGCTGCACTGGTTTTCACTGAGAGGAGGAGGAGTAGGAGGCACCACAGAAATTTTGCTGCTAAGGAAAAATACAGGAATCAGAAATGAGTCACAAATTACGTGAGCTACTCCTTTTACAAACGCCACGATTCTGTGATTCACGTTCTCAGCTTTCTTGTTTTTAAGTAGAAACTAAGTTTTCAAGGAGAAGACACAGCAGCTCTGCTCAGACCTCTGTGARGAGCACCTTCGCCTGGTACCTGAACACGGGAAGAAGGTCATGCCCATGTGTTCTGAAACCACAGGGGCCTGGCTCACCCCTGAGGGCCCCAGGCTTCACGTGCAGGATCTTGTTTGGACTCCCAAATTCTCTCAGTGCAAACCACACCAACACAAGGGCCCAAACTGTTGAGAATATAAAAACAACCAGGAGAGGAACTAGAAGCACAGGCTAAAAGAAGTGAGGACAAATGGGAGGGGAAGAAAGGAAGAAGTTCTGAGAAGGGAAAAACCTCTTCATGGGTCCACAAAGCAGGGGCTGGTGGGAGCGCTCATTCACATGTTAATAAACTCAGTCTCAGGTGTCCAGGCCCCCGGCAGCTTCCAGGTGCTAGGGGTGAGAACTTTGTACAAAGAAGTTAACATCTCTAGGACCATTATTCAATGCCACCAGTTCCTTCCACCCATCTAAGATGCCAGGCACTGGGTACCAGGTGAGAGACGTGGATGAGTAATAGCAGCAAATGCTCGGCTCAGTATGTCCTCCGATGTGCAATCAGAAATGATAGTTTGTTTCCTCACATTTCAGGAGAATTTGAGAAACAAAACAGGACGTTAAATGAGAAAACACGTTGATACCAGAAGGCTTCTCATGAGAATCCCGAAGCATCTTTGAATCTTTTCCAGGTACTTTATCATTAAAAAATAAAAAAGCTACATTCCAAAGCAGTGACCTCTAAGAGTCAGGAGATCTGAAAGTCCTTTCAGGGCGTCCTCCGCCTGCCTGCCCTGAGGGCGGGACGATCTGTCCTTCACAACACTCACCTCAGCCTCTGATAAGATTGCAGGAGCTTGGCCCCAGCTGTCTCCCGTTTGCCTGGAGGAGAGATCAGCAAAGGTCATTCAGAAATGAGAATATAACTTAGGTAATACAGACRCAGGAATCAATCAGTTAAAATTATTTTCCCTTAACYCCATTTCTTGTGCCTAATAAAAGGGGGGGGGGCGGTGATAGAAATGTTAAAAAATCAGATTGTGGGGAGGGCTGTACAGCTCTCAATTTATTGAACATCATTGGTTTGCACACTTAAAACAGGTGAATTTATGTTATAGGAATTCTCTCTTACTAAAGCTGTTGACCCAGTAAGAGGCCATAATGGCTAGGAATGACTGTTTTTATGAAAAGTTGATTTTGAATTAGATTTTCTAAATCTGGATAACTTAAAAAACAGTTCAAGCTTCCAATCTTCCATTTTTCCTTTAAAAACATGTCTTAATTGAATGGATACATTCCTTTAAATGCTCCTTGTGATGAAGATTAAATTAATCTCTTTAAAAATGTAATCTACTTATTTCTGATTATAGTGCTTAATAATTTCCTAAATTGTATTGTATCTGATATATTACCCTTTTTGTTTCAAGGAGAGAGGTTTCCATGATGTTTTAAGACCCCAAAATGAAACTCTGCATGTCTGTATTTCTGTGACCACAGGTTCTTGGCCACCACACAGGAAGAGTMTGCCCAGGGTGGAAGGGCCAAAGGCCTCCACTCTGCCCCTCACACAGCCCAACCCACCAGGCTGCACCCTGGGAGGTCAATCCAGCTCCTGCTTCATCTGTTTGGAAAGTTTTAATTCCGAAGAAATTAAAACATTTAGGTATTAGTATCACTTCCAGAGGATACACCGACAGGTGTGTTTAGCAAGAAAATCAGAATGGGCAGGGGAGCCTCTGGAGGSGTGGACAACAGCTGGTGTTAAGTCCTTGAAGAAGCCCCAAACCTTCAAGCGGGAACCCGCCCCAGGTCAGTCCTTAGCTGGGCTGGCCTCAGGGAGCGGGAACCCTTGAAGCRGCATCTCATTTTTCCAGTCTACCTACCTGTGTGTGTTTCCAGGGCTTCATAAAGGTRTTCACTGGATTCTAAAAGGAGTCCAAGGGCTGTCCCCACACCCCATTAGGAAACCCTTCTCTCAGGCAAAAGAGCCCTGCCCCGAGACTAAGAGGGGTGAGTGGAACCGGCTCCCAACAGGTGAAATCCAGCATCGGCAAGAGCCCCTGGAAGAAACCGTCTGGGCGAGAAGCAAAGAGCACGCAGACTTGCACACAGCACAGGGAACACGAAAGCAGAGAACGGAAGGGGAAGACAGAGGAGCAAGGCTGCTCTTCCTGCAGGCCTGGGGCAAACAGGTGCGGGGACCCAGATTGATGGTACGGCATGATGCGTCCGCCGTAGTGCACTTATGTCRCCCCAACGAACAGACAAGAAAAGCCAAGCAGAATCCTAGCACCCGGGTGGGCTGCTCACCAGAGCCTCCCCAGCACCTCGGGTCTCTTGCTGGGGTTGTTTCCCCAACATCCTCTGAGGCCCAGCCGCAAAAAGCAGTCCCTGTCCACAAGCCTCAGGTTCCCTCTCTGTAACCCAAAGCCCTTCAGGGGCACCCTATTTCCTTAGCCTAAGGCTCAGGCCCCACACTGCGTCTCCACCCTGCCTGAGGCCTTGCAATTAGAAATTGCTTCTGATTGCCCCACTCACCTGGGCGTTGCCTCCCTCTGGCTCCCCGATTGCTGACACCCCATCCTTCTCCTCAGGCCCCATATCAAGCCCTCCACAAGGAAAGCCCAGCTTTGTGTCCCATGTCACATTCCTTGGGTTCTCTCCTGGGATCYCTGCAGGTGGCCTTGCCCCAGCGTGGCCAGCACATGGCCCTCTGCTGCCCCCTGCTGGCTGCAGCAGCCTGGGAACAAACTTGCTCTTAATTCCTTTCAGTACTAAGGACTGAATCCAGGGCCTCACGCATTCTAGACAAGCCCTCTACCACTGARCTATACCCCCGCCCCTTTTACTTATTTATTTTTTAATGTTTCTTTTTACTTGTAGATGGACACAATACTTTTATTTTATTTATTCATTTTTATGTGGTGCTGAGGATTGAACTCTGTGCCTCATGCATGCTAGGCAAGCGCTCTACCACTGAGCCATAACCCCAGCCCCAGCCCCTTTTATTTTGATACAGGGTCCCACTAAGTTGCCTAGGTTGGCCTTGAACTTGCAATCCTCCTTCCTTGGCCTCCAAAATGGCCGTGGTAATGGCCACAGCAACTCTGTCACTGCTCCTCAACTCTGCCTGTGAAAGCAGCCGTGGGCACATCTATGTGCTGATCAAACTTTGCAGACACTGAAATTTCAATTTAACATTATTTTTATATGTCACAAATATCAGTCTTTGTTAACTATTTAAGATGTTAAAACAAACAAACAAAAATGTGCTTACCTCCTGAGACGTGAAAATAGGCAGGAGGACCAGCTGGTCCATAGGTTCTGGTTTGCCCAGGCCCTTGCCACCTGACACGGCATGGATCTGGGGCAGCCAGGAGGCCACCCGAAGCCCCAGATCCAGCCTCTCCTGTGCAGATCCAAACCTAATGGGCATGAGAGTCCCAGTGTCTGCAGGCCTCACTGATGACAGAAATGCCCCCCAGTGGCTTGTGTCCGGCTTCTAGGTTTGGGTTATTTCCCTTGCTCTTCTTCTGTCGCCCTTTGCCATAGCTTCTAGCCAGAGGCTTCCTTCAAAAGCACCAAATCTTTTTTTGTTTCTTATTAACCTACTTTAAATTCATGCAGCCACTGTGAGGAAACTCACAGGGCAGCTCTCTGGGGAGGCAAGGTGTTGGGATCAAGGGTCCCTGCCATCCTTCCCAGCCACCTGGCTGGTCAAGTGGCCTTTGAGGGAACACAGACTTTGCCAAGGGCAGGGCCAGACCCAGGCTGCCAGGGCTGCTCAGGAATGTGCAGCTGACCTTGTGGATGCACAGCACTTGCTTACAGTGGCTACTTGGGTGGGAAGCAAAGTAAGGTGGGGAGACACGGAAYGAACACAGCTTGGATGACTGGGGCTATCTGGTATGTTCTTGGGAGTTACCACTTTACTTGGGTTCATATTTTTTCATAACAAAAAAATTAAAAGGAGAACAATCACACATAGGCCAAGTCCCTGAGAACTGTACCACTTCCCAACTTTATCAATGCGTTCACATTTGTCATTATATCTTCCTTTGCTGGAACCTTCCRGAAGCAAGGCCCATGATCTTGTGTTTGAGGCATCCCTCACCTTGGGCATCAGACTCCTGAGGGAGAGAGGGCAGGGTGGAAAGGGTGTACATAGGGCAGTGGCTGGGTGGGAGAGGGCCCCAAAGTGGGAGGCAGACTCCTCCCCAGCCCAGCCGTGTCCCTCCTCACCTACAGACCCCCTTCATTTCCCACGTCCACCACACCCTCCAGGGCACACTGAGATCCTGCCCCTTCTTCACTAGGCACCTGCCTCTGTGGGTCCAAAGGCAACTTCCTTGCCCAGCACAGGAGGCTGGTAGGGGCTGAACTGTCCCCTGGAAAGACAGGTTGAAGTCCTCACCCCTGCTACCTGTGAACTGGACTTTAGGTGGAGACGGAGCCTTTGCAGATGAAGTCAAGATGGGCCACTAGAGAAGGACGCCACCCACATGGCTGAGTCTCTGTTCCCTGCCCAGAACCACCCACTAGCAGATCCACAGACACCGCCCCGTGGAAAACCCCAAACCTCAGAGTAAGGCTGAGTTCCTGTGTGTTCCTCGAGAGGGACAAGCCCTGGAAAGGCTAACAGAAAGGGCTTCCTTGACCACATCACTCTCCCCTTCCTGAGGGGCACACCACCCCCGACAGGAGGGCCCAGGGCCCACCGCTCCATCCCGGGCAAAGAGAAGCAGACACCCAGCTTCCCAGGCACTCTGAGTTAGGGACGCAGAAACTGAGCACCAGGTCTCCTGGGGCCAGATAAAAACAAAGATGGGGTCGTTAGAGCATGTCTTAAGTCCTAAGCTAGTATGACTATGTCCTCACAAAAAGGAAAAGACTGGACACAGACATGGACGCGTCAGTGCACAGATGCTGTGAGGGTAGCCAAGTGACATGGGCAGCCTGGAGGACACTTCTATAAGCTACAGCAGTGCCCAGGATGGCTGGGAGCCTCCTGTGGTCAGAAGAGGCCGGAGGATGCAGGGGCACCCACACCTCCACCTCAGGCTTCCTATCTCCAGAACAGGGAAGACCATGAATCTCTGTTGTTTGAAGCAACCAAAGTACCAAAGGTCGTACTCTTTGTGACAGCAGTGCTAGGAAGCTAGTCCACAGGCCTCTGCCACTGAGTCCCTACCTTCGTCTCCAGTGTCCCCACTCGATCCTGGCCAAGCCGAACTTCCCAGACGCCCAGGCCTACACACGCCTGCTCTCCACCTGGGCTGTGCCTCACTTGTCCCTGCCCACACTCCTCCCGAGGGTTTTGTTACAGAGATCTGGTGACTGTGCTCACCAGGCAGGCCTTGTGGTGTCACTGTGCACACTCAGACAGAAGAGTCTTCTGACCCCACTGTAAACAGATGCACACATCTGTCCCCCCACCAAGACGGAAGTCTCTGKGGACAAGGGTCTTGTCTTATGCAACTTGGTGTCCCCAGTACCCAGAAGAGGGCTTGCCACATGGGAGGTGGTGGCTGTAAGAATGACATTGATGGCAACGACACTGTTCTAACAAGAAGCCTAGCCTCATTTAAGCCACACGATCAGATACATATTAAAGTAAGTCACAGTCCCGTTTTCCATGACTTTCCTGTCGTTTTCATTCACTCACATGAACTGGCTGTAATATGCGCAGGCGGCTTGCCCGCCACGAGAGGGAGGCAGACACAGTCCCCGCTCAGAGCTCAGCAGTGCTGGAGGATGGTGGGGTGAGGATTCACAGAGATTCCAGAAGGAGCCAGGAGTCAACCTGTGGCTTATGGTCAGAACCTGCTCTGACCCTGCAGCTAGTGTGTCCATGACAAATCACTATGCATCTCTGTGTCCAT